TTATTCCGCAATCTTTGGGCGTCCATAGGATGGATCTCTCATCCCTTCACTTTCAATACCTGAATGGACAAATGCAATGAAAGAAGAGATGAATGCCTTACATAAAATTAGTACATGGGAATTAATGGATCTTCTAGTGGGAAAGGAACTGGTAAGGTATAAGTGAGTTTTTACAATAAAGTATAGGTCTGATGGTACAGTAGAAAGGTACAAAGCTCTATTGGTGGCGAAAGGATTTACTTAGGTGTATGGAGTATACTATGCAGAGACATTCGCTCTGGTTGCTAAGATGAATTTTATTAGAGTTCTTTTTTCTCTTGCTGCTAACCTTGATTGGGATCTCCACTAGTTAGATATTAAAAATGCCTTTTGAATGGTGATCTTAAAGAAGAAGTGTACATGGTGCAGTCTCTTGGTTTCTATGCTCAAGACTAAGAAAAAAAGATGTGTAGGTTAAAGAAGTCCTTGTAGGGACAAACAATCAGTAAGAGCTTGGTTCAGTAAGTTTCATCTAACTATACAACAGATTGGCTATAAACAGTGTTAGACTAATCATACTTTATTTATGAAAAAAGGAGAGGGAAAATTGTAGCCTTGATAGTGTATGCTGATGGCATAGTGACCACAAGTGATTGGAAGGTGAAAATTCAGAGACTAAAGGATTTCCTAGTTACGCAATTTGAGATGAAGGATCTAGATCCTTTGAAGTATTTTCTTGGAATTGAAGTAGCCCATTCAAAAAAGGGGATCTTCATTTCTCAAAGAAAATATGTCATAGATTTAGTACAGGATTTAGGAAAACTTGGAGTCAAGCTTGCTGATTCCCCCATTGATCCAAACCATAGATTAGGTGATTGTCACAGTGAGACTATTAAGGATGTGAAACAATTCCAGAGACTTGTGGACAGACTATTATATATGTCTATGACACAGCTAGACATTGCTTATGCTATGGATGTTCTTAGCCAATTCATGCATGCTCCTAAGACTACACACTTAGAGGCAGCTGATAAAATCCTCAAGTTCCTAAAGAAGTTCCTAGAGGCTAGTTTACTTTTCCAAAAGAATAGTCACTTGAAGGTTGAGGTGTTTACAGATGCTAATTAGGCAAGATCAGTTGAAGACAAAAAGTTTACTAGTGGTATTGCACCTTTGTGGGAGGAAACCTAATCACGTGGAGAAGCAAGATATGTTGTGGCGATGTCTAGTGCTGAAGTTGAATATAGAGCAATGTCCCATGGAATAGTTGAAGTTATGTGGATAAAGAACTTATTGAATGAGTTGGGATTTCTTGTTGATGGTCCCATGTCATTGTATTGTGATAACAAATATGTTATCAACATTGCTGCCAACCCAACGACTCCATGATAGAACTAAACATATTGATGTTGACAAGCATTTTATTAGTGAGAAAATTATAAATGGGAAAGTGTGCACTCCATATGTCAGTTCCACAAATCAACTTGTAGACATCTTTTCCTAGGGATTGCATCATCCATGACACAATGGTTTATGTGACAAGTTGAGCATGATTGATATCTATATTCCAACTTGAGGGGGAGTGTTGAAATCAGTTAACCACTCTTAAGTTTTATTTATTTTCTCTATTCTTTAGTGTCGCAGGGGCATGTTAGACAGTTGTATGCCCTTAGCTCCAACCAGATTGATGTACTTATGACATTTATTGTAAATGAATAAAGTGCATATTTGATTCATGTTCTTGTGGTGTGCGTTTGTGTAATACCCTTAAACTGGACACTTAATGAAACTCGTATTAGTTTAGAATGTTCACAGCCGTTGGATAAGTCTGGGGAGATTTATTCTAATAAGGCTGACATTGGTGTGCTGCCAAGTGTTGGGGTGGATTGTCTCAGCTGCCACGGTGAGACCCAAAGCACATGCAGTGTATGATTACTTGAAACCTTGAACCGGACCAGATTTTCAGTATTGCCCTGGACCTTGGAGATTAGTGGGCAAAACTAGAAAGTTACACCTGACCCCTAGACTCGATTATGATTCTGACAAGAAGAGATATCCATCGTATGGACGCCTGAATCTTACGGAATAGAATGGGCGAATTTCAAAAATTTCTCTCCATCATATTGGGAATTGTATTCCCTATTTTAGAAAAATCATATTTTACAAGGATCAATCTTGAACCAAGAACCGAACCAGATCTGAACAAAAGTAGTAGAAGAGGGATATACATGATACGGAGAAATAGTATCTCCCAATGGAGGTGTTCATACCCAAGGAAGGAACCAAAAACTGCTCCCACTAAAGATGGCGGAGTGCAAGATGGAGCAGAATCAACAACGTTCTTCAAAAGAACCAGATCCTTCGCAAGTATCAGCTGGATGGCACATGAGCACTTCTTCCAATCAGCCATTTTACAAAGGACTGATATCAAGATCCAATCTTGATCACTCCTACTGATAAGAGGAGATCGAACTGGCAGATATGGCGACGGCAGGAAGGAAGCGGCAAGAGAGATTTAGCGTAGTGATGCTGAATTCTCTCTTCTGTGATTTCAGCTCTGAAGAGGATGTGAATATGAATTGTCTTCTAAAGGTTGCCGCCCACTCCTCCTTTATAAGCTTAAAGGGATCAGCTCCTAATCCCATTAGAGTTGCTGATCCAAATTATATTTGGATCAGAATTCCCTTTCAGTGATAAGGGTAAACCCCTTATCTTATCTGCAGATTAGATCAGCCCCCTCCTAATCCTATTAGAAGACTCTCTGAGTGGATAGAGTTAAGACTCAATCCTATCTGCTAATCTAATCTCAGAATTTGCCCCTTATTTAATTAATCAAATCAGCCAAGTTCGAAATGGGCTTTAGGCCCAATAAGGTTATGTGCTCACTTAGCCTTCCAAACTGCTGCCTAGTTGGGCTTCCTTGTATGACGTGGGACCCAAACATTGATCTACACGTCAGCCACATGGGTTCAGCCCATCCTTTGTTACAAGGCCTGCCCGAATACACTTATGGATAGTGCACCCCCTGAAACCCATCAMATGGGCTCTATGGGCCCAACACTTACCCTAAGTGGTCCCTGGGCCAGGCCACCTTATAACACCCAGGGACTGTGGGCAAATGCAAGATTAGCCCATCAGGTATTACCCTCAATGGTCTTACACTTAACCTCTCAACCCATAATGATCAAACACTGCCCAACAAGAGAGGACCTTTCCCTTGACTGTAAGGAATAGTGTTGCACTCTCTACTCACATGGATCCCGGGAATTAAAACCTTTTGCAAACGTTTGGAAACCATAATATATACATATATATATATATATATGTATATCAGTATATAAATATATTTTACAAAACAAAATTTCAACAATTGAAATCGTCTGCCGGCAGTCTTGGTTTCCATCAGAGAGAGTGCATCCCCGATCATTACCTTTGTTCGACAAAGGGGCTGATCCTGTCACTATGATCACCCACTCAAATGAATTCTCAGACTGTCCCAACATACCCAGATTTTGATCCATTCCCATTTGT